TAGTGAGGTGGGGGTCAGTCTCTTCTCCCTATCAATAGAACAAAAGGAAATGGCCTCAAGTTGCGCCAGGGGAGATTTAGATTGGACATCGGGAAAAATTTCTTTACCGAAAAAGTAGTGAAGCATTGGAACAGGCTGTCCAGGGAAATGGTGGAGTCACCATCCCTGGAAGTGTTCAAAAAAACGTGTTGATGTGGTGCTTAGGGACATGGTTTAGTGGGCATGGTGGTGTTGGGTTGATGGCTGGACTTGATGATCTTAGAGGTCTTTTCCAACCTTAATGATTCTATGTTTCACATCATCTTCCATTGCCCTCACAGAATGTTGCTTTCTGTTGCTTTGTGTCAAGGTTTGCAGGAGGAAGGAAGGTTGTTTTACCCCTGCTGCACTCAGGGCATATCCATAGGAATTGTGGTTCCATAATCTGATAAAAGATAAGGCCATTCAGCTCTCTCTAAGGTTTAGAAACACACAACCTAAAAACCTGAGAGAACTTATCAAAATGCAGTATCAGCTAATACCTTTAGTTATACTGCCATTAATAGCACCTTATAATCAAAATAAGAAAATCCCTATTTTGTTACCAGCCTGCAAGTTAACTCAAAATTTACATTACAGTTCAACACAGATTCAATCTTTTTAATAATATACAATTTTCCTGGATCTATGGTTGGCAGACACATACACACACAAAAACCTTTAGGTCATTCTGACAGCTGCTTACAAAGACTAATCCACTCCCGATCATGCCTTCAGCATGAAAAAGTACCAACACCTGTTTTTAATCCACAAATGTCTCCCCCATATCTAGCAAAACCAAAAGAATAATAATCAAATATTTAAATTTACCTTCAATGTGACCGCTCTGTTATATTCAGTATGAAATGCACCGTCCCTGTTGAACAAGGAGTGGGGAATAGTTTTAACTTACAGTAATGTTGCTGGAAAACATACAGCTGCTTTTCTTCACTTCTCACTAACTAGAACAACATTATCTTGCTGAAGCCACAGAACTAAGTAGAATTTATTGTATTGTAATTTAAGGGGGGCGGGGAGAGAAAGGGAAAAGGGAGGGTGCAGAACAGTGTAAAGCAGACAGGTTTCCAGTGAATAATTTCCTCCCTTACACTTTAACAAGAATATTTACTAAGGCATGATCTGTGGAGATTGAGATGTAGCTGCTTGGTGTCTCTTAACAGTACTCCCACTCCTATTATTTCTAGGAGAAAAATCTCTTGCTGTCTCACTACACTTGCCTTTCTCCACTTACTTTACGAAGTGATATCTCAAGTCAGAAAAGCAAGCATAGGGAGGTGAAGCGACTTGGCCAAGGTACTTGCCAGAGGGCACATGACAGAGAAAGTAAGAGCTCAAATCTCAGGCATCAGTCGTGTGCTTTGGGTAGTTTTAGTCCATTGGGCAGCTCTCCCAGGCCCCGCCCATGCTTTTAGTGTACTCTATTCAACAGCAGAATAAATTTATCTCAACTTCTGTTACAACACATGCTTACAAACTGAAGAAACAGCAATTGATTTCACATGTCAAAGGATAAAAAGTAAGAAGTCTTCATGCTGCAACAGTATGGAACTGCAAGGAGAACAAATGGTCCTAACAGGGGCATGAACATTTACAAACTACAAATCCCAGCCCAGCACTCACTTATAATGGAGTAATTCCACTCCTTTCTCCTTCGAATTAGGATCTACTTTCATCTTCTTGCATAATTTTCGGCTTTCAGTATCACTGCAAAAAACACATATTGGAAGAAAAACGGTTACTAGAAAGGAAATTAAATGCATTCAGTTCTAAAAACTCATTGCTGTGCTTCCTCATCAGCAATGAGTTGCAACTAACAGTAATTTGGAAGCTGTTCAGCTAAGTTTGTGGGACAAGCATTGTGGAACACCGCATTATCCAATTTAATTTCTCTGTTTGCTTGGTCAAGACACAGTGAACTGTGACAAAACCACAGTCCAAAGCCGGGCCCTGACCAGTAGAAAATCAGCCCATTCTAGCATGTCTGAGTACCTCAGCAGACCTTCTGCCCATGGGATTAACACAAAATTTAGATAGTCAAGTTTTCAAGAAGACTGTGCTACTGTTACGGTGGTGGTCAAAGAGCACTGTTCCGAAAAGATTCAAAGAGAAACAGCAGGTCAGCTTTTATACTTGGCAGAACATAAAAACAAAGAGAAACATCTTCATGGTATCTCCAAGCCCCGATCAGAAGTGGCTGGCCTTAAAAAGGTTCTGCAGGAACAAAAATCAATTCAAATTTTGAAGCCCCAAGCTCAGCAACCCCATTTACTCTAGGTATGAGGAACGTGTCCTGGAGTCACACCTGGCAAGTGGAGGTAAAGACCATCTGCTACAGCTCCTGAAGGAGGCGGCATGCAACAGCAGACAGATCTGCTAGAGGTGGTTTTCAAACTGAACAAGAGTGAATCGCTTCCAGCACCAGATTACACTGAGCTGAAGAAGGGAGAAGGGTCATGAGAGAAAACTGCATATACATTTGCTTAGGTGGGCAGCTAAAGGGTCTTCATGGCCTACCTGCTGCCCTAAACAATACAGAAGTGAAGCTGTAAGTATAGTTCAAGCTGAAGTGAATATGAAGTCAGTCAAAGACCTGGGGAAATGAGTACAACAGTACAACTACAAAGAAAAGAGGATGATTCACATTGACAAGACTATTCTTTGCACTGACAAACAGCAAGATTAAAAAGCTTGGAAACTTGTTCCCAGCAGAGGACAACTTGTACCTTTTACGCAGATAAATCAATTTAGAAAATGAAAACACTGAAAACCCATCAAGTTTAAACTAATTAGAGACACTTTAAGAGACACTGAGATGCAAGGGTTGCAAGAGCCCCACCAAATTAAGTGCTGCTGCCAGCACTGGTGATAACCCTCCCAATGTTCTCCAGCTGCCTTTCCGCAAATACGAGGAACAACAAACGTAAGTTTGCAGTGTGCCGCAGATGAGAGCGCACCTCTGTGGGAACTTCCCAAATGCTTACTGTAGATGGAAATGAGGAGGGGTGTGCCACAGGCACATGCCTCAAAATCAGAACATTATGCTGAAGACGGAAATGAGCATTTTAAGGAACTAACAGCAAGCAACTACCTCACCAGAAAGGAGCACCTATAATCCCAATTGTATAGAAGCATGTTTATCTGAAGAGTCTTACTGAACTGATGTCAGATCTGCATTTTCAGATCATAGCTGAAGCTAGTCATTGTAACCCATAAATGCTTTCTTTACTTCTCCAGGAAGCTGGAGATCTGAGCCTGAGAAGACAGTTATTTTCCATTTATTTTGGAAGGTGGAGCTAAAACATCATGTCTGCAGCGTCAGCAGAGGACCAAAATGGGTATCAAGACAATTGATTCCGTTTTCAGTTCTGCCACCAAATTCGTGCAACTTCAAACCATGTGGGGGAAAAAAAAGTGCAATTTTTCCTTATTTGTTATTTAGAGATCCAGCTGCTCATCTTAGAAAAGTTCTGCAAGGTTTATAATGGAAAAAGGCTACAAAACATTACTACTGAGATGTATCTGTGAGTAAGCAGCTAGCAACGCCCACCACTCCAACTCCTACCAATTCATTTTCTGTTTGCATGCGTTTCCATCAAAAAAAGAAAGATAAGAAAGCTGTTTCATTGGAAGGAAACAGGATCTAAGCCTGCCCTGCTTTCACTGCTCCCTTTGTGAAGATTCACATAGGTGCTTGAATGCACAGGAAAGCAAGCAGCAGTTTGCTCCAGTATGTCTCTTACCATTTAGTGGGCAGATTCTCTGCACCACTGTATTGGGAGTTTAGTCTGTTTATGCAAGCTATCTGCCCTGATGCAAGGCATGGAAGAGGAGCAAACTCCCAGAATAGGAAGTACCTAACTACGTATCAGTAATTTTTTTCATGCATCAGTGAAAATTTTGCACATGCCAGATCCACCAGCTCAGATGCTATACTAACAATTCCTTGGGAAAAGCAGAAAAGGAGACATACAGAAACGGCAGAGATCGACCCATTTTGCTTTTCCTTCTGCTTTCATTCGCAGCCAGGCAAAAATAACCTGCAAAGAGCAACCTGCTCCAGTATCACTTGGTAATGACCATTATCCTTAATAAGAGTAAATATCAACATAGATGCAGTCTCTGCTCTGAGATTTGTCTCTTTGGATCTCAGCCAACAGGCGCTCTCTGAAGATGAGCTCCTCAGCTCTCACATGGGAGAGGGTAATTAGGACTCCCGTTCTCGCAATTTAATTATAGCACTTGAAGAGGCAGTGTAAGAGTTTGTTACAAAGACTAACAGGAGGAAGAAAAAAAAAAAAGAAAAAACACACAAACAAAACAAAAAACCAAACTCTAGAAAGCCAGAAACTGCCCCCAAAATCAGCACTCTACTGCCCAGGTCAAGATACTCCAGTCAAGGCACAAGGCTCAGGAAATACTGGTTTGAGGATGAGGTCAGTAATGTGCCCCCAGCAGCCATCCTTGGCTGCCTCCTGTCACTTCTGTCCAGAGCAATTCAAACCCTGGAAGGTCCCTGCTGTGCTACTGCTGAAGGGAGCCCTGCTTTGCCTGCAGGCAGTCCTACAAATCATCCAGCTTTATCTCTGTGGAGAATAATCCGAAACATCAACCTATTTACAATACCACAAAGGACCTAAACCAGCAGCTGTCTATGTGATAATAAGGTCAAACCTTAAGTGGCACGATGGCACAGCTTCCTTCCACTCCCACAGGCATGTTCCGCATGCTCCCCCTTCCAATGAAGCCAAAGTGGGCTCCAAAATGCTCCACTGCTGGAGAAGCGAAGACATAGGGCAGCTTGGTAAAATGAAAGATCCAAGTTGAACTAACTAAGCAACAAGTCTAAAAAACCACAAAGACAGCATGCATCACAGGAATACTTCACCCCTTTCCATTCACATCCCTGTCTCCTCTACTGGGAGACACTTCTGTTGTTTGGGGTTATGATGGAGCTGGCAGGAAGCCCAACTGGAGTGCTCCCTGTAAACCTCTGGGGTCCCTTGTCAGCGTTAGCATGCATGAGTAATCACTTTGGACAGGCAGCCAGCTGTTACTGGGGCAGGAGGAGGGTGAGAGGCTTGTGAAGGAGATCTGACCTCCTTTAGCTCACCATCAGTGATGCCAGCACCTGAAGGGGACATGCCACAGGCACTCCTCAGGAGTGGTGCTGGATGCTCTGCCTGTGCAGAGCTTCCCACAGGCCTGGGAGCTCATGGTCATATAGATGGAGAAGCAGTGAGAGACGACGGTCCTCAGTGGCAGCAGCAACCCAGAGAAAGGCTTTTGCAGCAATCTGTCAAGGTAATTTGGAGAGAGAAAGAAGAGGGCAAAGCTAGGCAGAAGGAACACAAAATAAGATCCAGGAGTTTGGATGCAGTAAGTCCACATTGGTTTCTACAAACAAGTCCAAGCTGGATGGATCCTGAGTAAAATGGTGTATGGAGGTGGCAGTGCAAAACACCCTCCTTGGGGCAAATTCAAATATTGTCCTGTCAGGTCCTGAAGGCAGCAGGGCAAGACCAAACAAACATTCTCAGCACCATCCTCTCTCATGAGCACAAATAAGATCTTCTGCAGCTCCCTAATTATTTTCCTTATCACAATGTTGCCCATTGGCTTCTCATCAAGAAGGAAAAAAAGCCTCTGAGGAGGAAGGATCTGGAATGACTGTCAAATCCTCTCTTAAGAAATGACAAAAACACCATCCGAAAACAGCTCATGTCTCCAGTTGCCACGTAATAGCAGCATGTGCATGTGCTGTGTGGCTGTAACAGTTCGACACCACAGTGCTGGAATCTACTAACACTTTGCAACACAGACTAGACCCAGCCTTTTTATTCATCTGTACCTACTGTGTTTCCAGGCACAAGAGAAGTACTCTGACAGCACCAATTTAAACAACTCTGTCAGTAAATCTGCCTGCACAAAAACTACCTCACTCCACTATCAGCATATCATGTAACCACATGTGAACCACAGACCTCATAATCTGTAAACAGATTTTATCTCTTCTATCTGTACATATCTTCATCTGAAACAGGGCTCAACAATCCACATAAACGATGCTTCAGTAGTCTCTTATATCCCAATTGTGCCTGTAGACCCCAACGCAATGGAGGCTCTGTTGTATCAGTGGCTGTACAAACATTGTCACTGTCCCAATAGCTGGAAGGGACAAGACTGTGCAGGTAAAGAGGAGGAATGGACTCTGAGAGCAGGGCAATACCACAGAGAAGAAACATGGCTGCCTACAAAGCAAGCCTCCCAACACTGGAAAAAGCTTTGGAAGGTACCAGTCAAAGCTGCCGTCTTGCTACCAGCACGCTCTCTCATTATTGTCTCTGTTGTGTAATTGCTTTCATTCTTTTACGTTATGATGAAAACCATCGTACAGAGAACAACTCCAGTTACAATTTCAGGGAAGTGCAACTGTAATTTCAGACCAGCCCTCAGAAGTGAATTATCAAACAGGGTTTCCCAGGCCAATGCGCAGCCTCTGCAATGCCCTCTGGCTACCTTCCATGGAATACCCTCTCCAGACAACAGACTGATGAACACCCTGAGAAAGCATGGAGTTCAGATCCTGCCAAACAACTAACTGAGCTTGTGACCCAAAAAAGCAGCAAAAGGGGTGTCAATGCCAGAAATTTCCTCAAGCCACCTAAAAATAAAATCCACATTTGCACTTGCAAACCTAATCTGAA